ATGCCCTTTCTACCACTACTTAGTATTAACTGTCTCAGAACCCATTTCACCAGATTCCCGGCATGCAAGCTACAATTTGCACCAAAAGATCATTTTCTCTGTCTTATTTTGGCATGTTTGGTAAATGTGTCTTTAATATACAAGCAGCTATAACTTGTCAGATGGTGATTCTGTCATCATTAGTTTCAAAATTGTTTTTGTGAAACAGGTTCCAGTCCTAAAAATCAAACATGTTGTACATGATTATTATGAGAATGATTTACAGTGACTTTATCAGAATGCAAAAGATTAGAAACTTTAAATACAATACATCATATGGTTTTACACTTACCAGACTGGAACTGAGCCATAATTGCCTCAACAGCCACAATATTGTATGTGTCAATGTACAATAGACATGGTTCAGACATGCTCCCCTTTGTATACTACTACAATGGGTGTTTGGATGTGTTCACCAGGCTTCTGACACTTACAACCTGCATGATCCTAAACACTCGTACACATGGCAGATAATAAAAATTATGTCACATAAACATTCCTGAATCTGCAGGCCATGAGTAACATATATTTGGTCTTAGAAAACATCAGTTGTGTTACAATGCTCATAATCTGTATATTTTTAAAAAAGCAAGAAGCTCAAGATTGTGTAGAAAGCACTGAGTGAACGGTTCAGTCACCTACAGTTTAAAGGTCCTCTATACTGTATAAGCCAGGACCACTGATTTAGTCAAGTCTATGTTATTGATTTGATATTTGGGACAATACTTGTCTACCTCTGATAGTAGCCATCAGAGTCCAGCCAGCTCAGTAGCCTTCTCTAGAGAACCCAATAAAAATTATGCCTTACAACAACAGAACAACCCCTTTGTGAGGCTGAAATAAACCCTGGTTTAATTCAGGGAAGTCAGTTCTCATAACCCTAAGCGCTGGTAAAGTCCCTCTGTACAGTGTCTCATTGATGTTATCTCAGAGCGCCCTGTGTCTCCCTCTGCCTCATTTTATATCAGCCAGGCTCGTCCTGCATCTTCATGCTTCTCCAACTTCACCTCATTCCCAAATACATCCATGGAACACTACTTATGCCTCTTTTACCAGACAAGCTTGACAGTAATTAATTAGAGCTTTAAAAGAGGATAAAGAGTGGCTCTTTATTGACAGCTCTGCCTCATCTATCTCTAGACCTCCACACAGCCAATGCACCCCACCCTCCTCCTCCTAACCTGCCATCAGGGAGTCTGATCGCCCAACACACAGCGCTCTATTGAAGCTTCCTGTTCAGGTCAAGCCTGTCCTCATTACTAACACCGAGCACTGCTCCCCACTGCTCTACCTCCAAACCTAAAACACATACACACACAGACACCCCACTGTCCTCAATCAATGTCTGTGTTTGAGAAGCTAACAGATAGAGAACAGCTATTAACACACTTTCATCTAGTCAGCAAAAGAGAATGGGATATGGTAGTGGAAGAGGAGCTTTGAGCCAGGGCTGCACAGTGGCAGGCTGCTGATTGATATCTGACCTGGAGATTAAACTTGATGTTCCTTGCCAATTAAACAATGCAACGCTTTGAATTTTAGTTGTGACATGTCGCATTATGGCTTTCAAAAGGCTATCAGAAGCTGAGGGCTTCAAGCTTTTCCCAGTTTATGGAATAACACTGAGGGCTTTTCTAAATCGAGAATTTAATTCAGTAAGGGCACTGAGTACAGCATAAAGGCAAATACACATACAGCACAATATAAAGCCTTGATGTTTAAAATTTGCACTGTGTTTCCTTTTTTCTGATGGTTCTTTTTTGTAGAAAAATGAATTCACTATAAATGTGCTGCTTCAGCTGATTCTGTGTCCATACTTTGGGT